AGTACACAAAAGAATATCACATACTCTCCCTCTCTCTCTTTCTCTGTCTCTGTCTCTCTCTCTGTCTCTCTCTCTGTCTCTCTCTCTCTTTCAAGGCCATTCATTAATGACATGGTGTATCAGAAACTACATGTACACTGTCAGTTATGACAATATCTCTCTCTCTCTCTCTCTCTCTCACTCTCTTTCTCACTCTATCTTTTCACTCTCTCTCTCTCTCTTTCTTTCTTTCTTTCTCTCTCTCTCTCTTCTACTCCTATACAGCGTATATCAGTCTGCCTTCAAGGCCATTCATTAATGACATGGTGTATCTCAAACTACATGTACACTGTCAGTTACGACAATCTCTCTCTCTCTCTCTCTCTCTCTCTCTCTCTCTCTCTCTTTTCTACTCCTATATATATATATATATATATATATCAGTCTGTCTCCAGGGCCATTCATTAATGACATGGTGTATCACAAACTGCACGTACACTGTCAGTTATAAATGACAATATGCCTTTGCATCACCATAAGCTACCAGCAAAACATACAAATTACATCATACAGAAAGTTATGGCGTGCTGACCAATACAACATACGACAAGCAGAGCTGGTTCAACCAGATTTTCTGAAGAAAAAAATCCTCAGTTCTCAATAGAAGAAACATGTGTAGTCTTGGAATACATAGTACATGTATAGATGTACATGTAGGAAACTGAAAGATAGTAGGTACTTGATTTACTATTGGTTCAGAAATATGATATTTGAAAAGATGGGCAATACGATATGATCATAAAAACCTATAGCACTATGGTTCAGATGGGATCTACTGTACTACATAATTATTATACTAGCACATACAGGGTGTACAGTGTACATACATTTACATGTCCTTGTCAAGTGAACAAGCACTTTTCTCCATCAAATTTAGTTTCCCAATAAAGTGGAGGTCCAAAATGCATATGACAAAACACATGCCACAGTATTCCATTCATATTAATATGAATACTGCAGCTGTTATCAAATCTACCTTTTAATACATAAGGTTATATTACATACACTGTACGTGTGTTGATAATTTGATATACTTGATTATGATGTACATGTATATGGGGTTTTTTAAACAGTACATTTCCTTTTCTAATGTAGGTACATGTATTCCCTCTCTGTCAGGTGCATACAAGGAATATTATATGTACATGTACATGAAAATATTATCTATTTACACATAAAGTAATATCTCCCCATTTTATTATGGTTGTAGCTGCTTAATTGTAGCATTTTTCATCATAAATAATGGTCTGTTTTCACTCAAAGTTTTAGATTATCTTTAATTGTACATCTAGCCTTAAATCACTACTTTAGCACCATTTTCTCTCATCTGAACAATGTTACCAAGTCCCTTTAAGTACCTGTAGATTCTCAAGTTTCAAGGAAGTAGTTCTAGGTTTGTATCTAACCACTTAAACTGAAACCTGTTTCTCTTTGACCACCCTCTCCACTTAAAGGGCAATCCAATCCTTGTAATAAGATGCTTTACAGTATGAAAGCAGATAAATACATGTAACAGAAACAGAATGGCAAGAGTTTGAAATGAACCGGACCAATAGTAAGGAAGTTACAATGTATGAATGTTTGTAATATGACATCTCTATTAAGTCTATAATATGCAAATCTCAAAATGGTAGTTCGGTCATTGGATTGTGATGTACCGGTACCTGTAGGACGTGGATAACTCTCTCTCATTTGCCATGTACAAAAATGTCATTCATTTCTGTTTTTCTCCTACATAAGTGTCTTCTCCTTTGGGGCACTTCTCAAAATATATTATAGATAGCATATTATTATAGGTCCTCTAAATAAAATAGACCCTCCTGAGCAATGCTTTTTTGAAGAAAAAAATATATTTTAGTCATTTTATACGTTGGAACAGATGGGAAAGTAGTCCAGCACTACATGTACATCACATTGACATTACCACTTCAGGCAATTTGAAGTGCCCACACATACAGTGATTACAACTTTCTTATATTTAGTCAGATTGAATTAAAACTTTCATCAGTTTGCTTCTCTGATTCTTCTGCTTTGTTTTAGAGTGGTTGTCTATTTGGGTAGGATTTCCCTTTAACTCAGTCTACAGGTCTCTACGATACAACTTTAAAGTACAGACGAGATCAATTTTCAAAACATTTTTTGTTAGGGGTCGAGGCTCACACAATAGCAAACGGAATGTGGTCTAAGTGATCACACTGCTAAGAATGCAGCCAATTACACGCCATATTATTGGATTACTCAAGGGCTGAATTATTGAAATGGCACAAGTAACTACATGTACATGTTTTAGGTCGATCCTAATACACCTCATCTACATTCAACCTGTTTACACTCTCCATTGTGGATAGAGGGCAGCCTTGCGTGACAACTAGAAATGGAACACAGATTGCATTGTGGGAGGATAAATACTGTAGTTCTATAAGTGCACTTTCTGTACCCTTTGCCTTGGTCTAGGTTCCATGTTTTGAAAGAGAATGAAGTGTACAAGAACATTCAATGAAATGCCAGAAATATCTCATCATCAAAAGTGTATCATCTGTTGATGTCACTGTTCATGTTGCAGAGTAACACACAGTGGTTTATTTTGTATTTAAAGAGAAGGTTGAGTTCTGGGAAGAGGTGAAAAATAATTTGTGAGCGGTACTCATTCTTATTATGCAAGTGTGGAAGGATATCAGATAAGACATGTTCCCTGAAAAGCATGGCTCTTCAAATGCCTTCATATTCTAAATATGCATGTAACATCGTAAAAATCGGAGGGGGGCCGGCTTTTTACTCCACGTGTTTGTGTAGTCCCATATACATCTTTCTGTGTACAGTGTTTGTAACTTTACCAAGACTTGGCCAAATTTCTTATCATTTTGATGATTCCAGAACCTTGCAATACACACAAATTCTTATATGCTAGATGATCAACCGTTTCTTTCACAATGCAATGGCATGACCAGAACTCAACTTCATCTTTAATTCCAATAAATGAGAATTTGCTCTACATGTAATTGTTAAAGGGGAAGTTCACCCCGATAACATTTCTGAATATTTGCATTTCAGTTTGAACAAATATCATAGTCAAAATACCTCTTGAAAAGGGATTGCTCTTAATATTCAATCATATTCAAAATATAGCCAGAAATGGAAGACACGTTTGGACCAAACATTTGTATGTAGTCCCATATACCCATTTCCATGTGCACTGCATGTGATCTTCAGCAAGATTGCATTATGATCATTCTAAAACCTCACAGTTACATGTATACATCAAGTCTTATATACATTATCCACCTTTCCAAATCAACTTTATCTTTTACAACTACATGTATAAATGAGAAGGAAATATAATCATGTCTTTGAAATGAACAGTATACTTCCTTATAAAGGAACATATATTTCCATGTAGCAAATCAGCCATCTCAGTTTAATTCTGGTATGATGATACCCTTTGAAAGTATTGCAGAAAGATCATCTTAATAATAACAATAATAATCTTGGGTTCTTGTATAGCGCATATCACATGATGTTTCATTTTCACTTTGTTGTGGTACATACACAGCCAAGATCATTTTATTCTATTTTCTATTTTAAACAAATTGGGATGTATGAATTGTATTTTCAAGCAGTAAAATAGCACTAAAAAAATGTATGACAGTGTGTATTAAAAGGGTCTTTTAAAAGTACCGGTAGACTGATTAAATATTTTGATGCAACTAGGTTTACAAATGTGTCAACAAAATTACATAACTTCACATGACAAGTTTCAATCCCAGGTTTGTTTGTTGTTGTTTTTCAGGCTCATCTTGTTATAAATATTATTCAAAAATCAAATCATAATCATAATTCATTAACCATAGTGACTTACACATATTCCAAATCGGAAGGATAATTTTTTTCTCTCTTCAAAAACTGAAACTGCTCATGAATGCCACACAAACTGAACAAGGTTTAACTACATACCATCCTGCTATCTCTTTATAATATCTGCAATCTAAATGTACAAGTACTGAAATAATTCTGAGAATAATCTGCTATATAATTGGATAGTCATTACAATTATCATTAATTTATACTCCCTATCCTTTCATGTACCGGTACTCTAATCATAATAAGCTATATCATAAATCTGTATGATGCAGTATTGGGTGTGTCATTTATATACATGTACCAGCACAAGAACACAATAAATCATTGTCTCAAATGAATACAAGCATTACACATTAGTGCTCAATATTTTCATAAATCAAGTTACTCTCAGTCAATGGCATTCTATGTAATGAACCATGAACAAAATATTCTACAACCATTACGGCAAGAACATCTTGAAGCCAAAACATTCATCTAGATGATTTTAATTTTTAAAAAATCTTCAGAATTAGACAACAAGTTGTCCTGTTAAAGGTAATACAAAGTTTTGGTATGGGGTCATGAATTTGGTTCAAATTAACATATTGGAAGCATATGTGATCCTACAATATTCAGTGATCGTTGTCGCGGTTGAAATTGAGTCTAAAGTGATGAAAATTTAAATAATAAGCTCTTTATGTTGTATAGCTCCATCTCAAAGTCAATGATATTGATATAGCTATACAAAATGTTCCTTGACTATGACTTTATGGGTTAATAATAAATGGAGTTTAATAATAGTTACCGAAGACCATGAAATGGATGATGATTAATGGATTGGGAAGAAATGGATGATTAGCAAATCAAGGATTCCAAAAAGTTGGAGGCAATCTCCACAGCCCTAAAACTTCATGTACATGTGTGTACATGTATGCTTGAAATAAATTGATAGTGGCAAAAGGCTATTTACCCCTTACACTAAAACTACCAAATAAATGTTGTATGCCAATATAAGTTTTAAAAGAACATTCGTAAAACCCACCTCTGCCCCTCCCTGATTCACTTCTATATTTTTTCTTCACATGGAAGGGAACTCAAATAACAATACATTCATTACCACTTACCTTGGAAGTTCATTTTGACTACCATTCCTCACAAATAATTGTGCTAAGAATTATTGATTTCCTTCAGAATCCATACTTGACGAGCACACAATAGAACAGGAAGGGGTGGGAGGGGCCAAAAGATCATCCATCCAAGCATTGCAATATATACCACTTCAAGACCAACGAACACGAGCCATTCCCCTTAATGGATGGTTCAAGATCAATATAAGCTCCAGTAAAAACTCCACAAGAAATGGAAGTCACTCTCCTTTCCTTACAAATCCACAAGTAGATGAAGTAGACGCTATTGTAAGTTAACTGGACTGGCTTAAGGCTAATGGATGCAATCATTCAAAACTACTTCTCCTCTTTAAGAGCGATTGAATTAAAATTAAAGCAGAAACAATGCATACACATGACAGTTCCTATAGAGTCGTATAGCTAATGAATCTAATGGTAGTTCCTTTCTTATTCCTTCTTTCAATTGACACAGAGATGTGTTTACAGTAGGTCTATGACACTGCAGAGTGGGTATGGGAGAGTATTCATTTACAAGCCTATTAAATATGATGGTACATTGGGGTTTCCATTCATTTCAAACAGCTGTGTCTGATATAATAGTTCCTTCTCTGGCTTTCTCTTTCTCTAAAGTTCTCTTTCTCTTCCTCATCCTCTCTCTTCTTCTTCATCTATCCCTCTATCTTCTTCTTCTTCATCTCTCCTTATTTCTCACATCAATACCAGAACCACAAAATAGTCTACAAGAATTCATAATACAAGATTTTTTTGGAATGATTAAGCAAAAATGTATATTTATTTCAGAGCCTCTTTCCAAAACAGTTTTCTCCTATTCTCTCTCTCTCTCTCTCTCTCTCTCTCTCTCTCTCTCTCTCTCTCTCTCTCTCTCTCTCTTTCTTTCTTTCTCTGTATTTCTCACTGACTCTCTCTACACCAATAATCAAAGGGGACCAGTTTTTGAAACCCAGTAGCAAGATTTTCTGTGATTATCACAGTATTGGCTATATTGAATAATATATTTCTGCTACAAACTGCGAGTAAAATCAAAATTAGTAATCTTATACTTGAAGCGTAAGGAGTATTCTTTACAATTTCTTCACATATCAAAGTCCGAATAGCTAGAAAATAGCTTTAAATACCAGGAAATGAAATGGAATCCCCTTGAGATAATGTCCGTATCCTGGTAGGCTACAGGTTGCTGTTTCATTCAGACCCCAAACCACAAGATGAAGAAGGCTTGCGATGTGCACACATTTATATTTAAGTTCTGAAGAAATTATAGCATTTCATGATACATGTGCATACAGTGTTACAGAGCCAGAAGGGCTTCCATGCTATCAATGAAAAGAATTAGGATCATTCCGACTCTCAACAGAAGATAAAGAGTCTTTCATGTGAGAAGTAGAAAAACTAATGTGCAAAGTGGAAATATTAAAACATTTCCTTATTTGAGTTTTACAGGATGCATGATTAAAATTATTTTTCTTAAAGTCTTGACTCAAGACGAACTATGAATTGCCCATCCCCCTCCCCACCCCCTAAAAAAATGCTTCTTGACTTTATTCCCCTCACATCTTGAACGAGATGTGATTAGTTGTGGATAGTACAAGGCTACAAGCAGTGTTTAAAAGAGTGTTTTCATCCAATATATTACAATATTTTAGCTGTATTAGATTTTGTTTTCAATTCTTGTTTATTTAATCTCATGAAAACTGATGAATTTTAAGTGAACAAAATATTTGTTAGAATACAACATGGGACTGTTCACCATGAACAACATTATCAAATTCACTCGCACGAACTTGTAACTCATACCTGAATACGATTTCAGCAGTCTGACCAGTTACTGAATGCAAAGTACAATGACTGACTGGCTGTAGAGGGAACAACTTTATTTTTAAATACCTGGTGGTGGTATAGCTTACAAGCCACATCTGTCCCTATTCAGAAGATATTTACACTGTAAATGTATTTGTCTATACACTGTAGTGTGTGCGCTGAAGTCATCATTTTCATAGAACATGTGGACAAACTTCCTTCTGCAAATTGTAAGAATAAAGACTACATATTGTGTCATTGTACACCTATGTAGCCATTTTATAAGCTCATTAAAGTACTTTTTTTAGGGTCAATTTTCTAAATCCTGAAAGACAGCTCATTAAAGTGTTCTATTTGCATAAATGTGATCTAATTTCAAACACAATGAATATTTTTTCTTTCCTTTTTCATTCATCTTCAGAAGGCGCGATGGCTCAGTGGTAGAGCAGTGGTCTCAACTGAAGGTCTCAGATTCAAAACTAAGTCGATGGGCTAGTGCCCTTTGGTAAAGGCATTAATCATCTCAGAGAGGACTTATAAGTCTTCTGTCACCTGGTTGCTTCCTTACAAGCATATGCTTTCTTGGCAATCAGGTAAAAACAAACAAACAATCAATCAAACAAACCTCAGCTCATGTTGTCTCCTTGTAAATGTACAAGAAATATTTCAAAAATTGATCTCTGATTAAATTAAATCACTGATGGCACACCGTAGACTATGTTCTGTTCTCCTTCTCTTAGTCTAACTTCCATATAAATAAGACCACCTTGTACAATCTACCCAGGAGGAGTTTCATTGCCATTCTCTATTACACTCAATAACTTTCGCTGCATTAAATTAAGCTCTCTTCACAGGATATTAAAAGTCAGTCTTGTCAATCTGTAATTTTGTGCTTGACTGCCGCTCGACATGCTCCTTTATCTTGTTCCCAATTATATTCTTCTCCATTTTCTTACCCCTTTTTTTTCTCCATCCCCCCCCCCCCTTTTTTTTTTTTTTACTTGGAAAGCAATCATGCTGTACACTAATATTCTGCACACAGTACATGTAGATGTACCAGTATTTATGCTGTATGTACATGTACTGTAACTAACATACTAGTAATAGAGGGAAATGTACAGCATTTGTACATCAACATTAAATTTTTGTGACAATTTTCATCAATGGTTATTGAAGTCAAAACTTAAAAGATTCCAAGTTGAAGGTTTCTTTGAACTGCTGTCAGGTATGGTAGCAGTGTCATTACAGGAGCTTACCAGGCAGCAAGGCCATGGGCAGAGAGCAGATTGATTTCTCACAAAGCTCTTCTGTTTGGAAAAGAATATGGAGACCCACACCAGCCAAACACATGTAAGAGTAATCATGTAAAATCTACTGTTGACCTTCTAAAGAACCAAATAACAGTGTAATTTACAAAAAATTGCCTTTCAACTAGCGCCAATCGCGAAGTCCCTTGGGCTAGGAACACCTGGAAGGGATATTACAATAACTATATTTGTGGGTTTGCGAAAGAGGAAGAGAGAGAAAGAGAGGGAGAGAGAGGGGAAAGAGAGAGAGAGAGAGAAAAGGTGGAATACAGTACTGTTGCATGGAGCCACATTGTGCATAAATATACAGAAAAAATGGCAGAGAAAAGAAACAATAATGAACCCCTGCTGTTTGCTTACACGTTTTCCATTGAGTTCAATTGCAGGGGTTCTTAACCCCAAATTAGATGTTATGCATGACTTCTGTTCTGGTTCTTTCAAAGAGAACTATGCCCCATTGTGATGATGAAATGACCTTGGTCGCTCTGACTTCACCTCATGGAGGAGACAATGTGGATATTGACTGCTTTAATTTGAATTGATCATCGGCATCCATTGCTCACTGATACACACCACCACACACCAACATCAGATACAGAATTGATAATAGCCTCTTGCCCTCTCCACTTGATGAACGTACATTTATATTACGGAGATAAATGTCAAATTGTGTATGAAATATATACATGTATATGAAGATACAATTCGTACATACACTTGCTGTTGGAGTGTTGGTGAAATATGTTTGGAACCATGTAAATTTAGGTCCCTAGTCTACTCCATGATACCAGCAATCTACTCTTCTTTAAAATAAAAGCTCAATTCAAATAAATAAAGGGAAGTTTAACTGGTTGCAGAAGAAAACAATATATTTAAATTATAACAGAAATACATGTATCTGCAAACAGAATTTTCAAGAAAAGTTGGAAAAAATTGAGACAACTACGAACATGATTTCTTTTTTATAATGCAAATTGGCAACTCGGTAATGAAGCAACACGTATGATATCACAGCCTCCTCACTACTGTACTCGCTAATTGCTTTGTATGTTTTTGATATCTTTAATTTCCTAGATTTCCAAAAGAACTGCTTTCCTCAAGTTTCTTCCCTACGCACCTGTAGTTGCATCAATTTATGAATTAATATTTACTTTCCAATATTTCTATAATTAATGTTTGTATGTTCTTATTAAGTAATTCATGTACAAACTTAAAACATCTCTTTCAAATTTCAATTATATTTTTTATCTCTTTCAAATTTCAATTATATTTGACCAACATTAAACATAATTAATAAGATACGGTAAGTAACAATTAAGACAATACTCATAATAAGACAATACTACTTCAATTTTTATGCATATGTCCACAGATTCTAAAACACTTGCATGGCGGATATTTTCATTTATAGTGGTCGAACCTCAACAGATAAAAAATGGGACATCAAAAAACTATACAAATCTAAATCTAGACATGTGAGATGTGAGGGAAGTAAAATATTACTAATGACCTATAAACAATCCCTCTAAGCATAACACACAGTCCCTGTGTGTTGTAGGACAGAGAGGATATTGTCTTGTAGTAGGTAAGTGGTCTTATCATCACAGAGTGTGTATCGAGTGTCAATAAATGATAACACAAGTGAGCTGATTAAATATCATTAGCATTTAAAATGTACTTGTACGCAATTTTGAATGCAAATTTTTTGACATAATATTAATTGTGTCACTCATCTTTTTCAATTTTTTTGTTGTTACTATAAACTGGGATTACATATATTGGTGTTGAGATTTTTTTTTAATTATACTTTTTAATAAAAGATTACTAAAAGAAGTTTGAAGAAAAAAATCAGTTATATTTATACCAGCTAGGCTCACAAAATTGGACATCGACTTCATACATTACTCATGTCCATTTCCTCATGTTTGTTTCCAGTATTTTTTGTTCGCTTTCAATCAAATCTTTAGAGTCACTGATACATGTATAAAATGTAGGTCTCTCCATTTCACATTGATACATGTAACCTATCTAACAATCTTAAAAGTATTTCTTGCAAGTCAATTTGCAATGAATTTAGCAGAGCTACATTTTGCTAACATTCTCTTTTTGGTGAATTGTTTCATGTTTAGATTCATCAATACTTACCAACTAATAGTTCATATTTCCAAATTCTATCAGTCTCGGCTGATCTACATCTGAAAC